CTGTAGAAAATAGGAACTCGGGCTGCATACAGCACTGACATGAAGCATCATGGCTGTTGGTGTCTCTGTCTATATAGTGTCTGTAGGACACTAGGGCATTGGTACCTTTATCCATGGATAGAGTAGGAGTTTTCAGGCAGCAGTGCATTTCCCAGGGCAGTCTCTCATGAAATGCTCTAAGAAGAATAAATCCAAACTAAATCTACTAGATCAATGATTCAGTGGTGCAGGTATGATTTGTATCAGGCATGCTGGTCACGTACAAGCAGCAGCAAATACCCACTAATGAGCATGGTTTAAGATGCTATATTTCTCTGCTCCTTCAAATAGCTAGATTAACAGTGTGTTTTCATATACCCTGGAATGTGGTCAATAGCAAACCGGGAACGCACTGATTTTTAGTAAAACACTTCAGCAACTTACACAGGAATATTATGTAGCAAGTTCTAAAGTGCTTTTCTGCTGTTTCCCATCAAAGTGATTTTTCATGGTGCATGTGGTAAGGAGTTATTAACTGCAAACAGATTTAAGTGCTGAGGATTCCCTAGATCTAAACCGATGCTTGTCATTCAAATGCCCCAACATGAATCAAGTACAAATGTGAATGTTCACAGCCAATGCAATTCATTTGGTAACAAGCATGTATTTAGCATTACATAAAACACAACTATCTACCCCTTGATAGTCCTTTCTTGTCCTGGTATTTTGAGGGAGAAGGCGGAGGACATTTATCTTTGATGGTGAACTTTAAAAGTATGTTTTCTTTGTAAATCTCAACCTATTCTTTTTCCATGTGTTTCTAAAATGTCTCTGACACTTCGGCTCGATACCCAGGTATCCCAGCTGTTTTTCTAAGACGGTGGAAATTAAAGTTCTGTTGACTTCACTGGAGCTTTGCCAGTTTTCCTCAGAGCAAGATTTGATTTCAGAATATTTTGTGGAGCCTAGATCTGACATATGCACTGTAAGCACTATGGGTGCTGGGTAGTTGCTGTACTGATGCCATTAGCCAGTGATTGGGAAAGAGGAATTCCACTGTGTAACACTGTGGGTTGTGGTTCCCACCTGTGATCTCATATGGAAATTAAATGTTCGCTGTCTTTGGCAAAGGTGGAACTGTTTCAGAATGTCCTTTTCTAACCCAGAATGATATGCTGAAGGGTTGGGAGTATTGTCCTGACTCCAAGTAGATTCTAGAGCCCTGATGACTCTGAGCCCAGCAAAGCAGAGGTTTGAGCCTTGGCCTCCTGAATTCCATGTTGGTACCATAGTCTCAAGTCACCACAGCCTGAAAGCATCTCTCTCTCACAGCACAGACCTAAACAAACACCTTGATTTAGTCCTAGTAAAATTGAAGTGCTGGGGTTTTTCCACACTTGGAGAAAAAAACCTTCCTTGCTTCTTCCAACTGTATCATCTCTCCTGTTATCACTGCATCTCCTTCACAATTTTCTATCCTTTAACTATAACACCTCTAGCACTACCACCAAAAAAAGCCCAAAAAATGATATCACCAATTGTTCCAGCAAGCACAAAACAACAGAACTAATGTAGGTTTCATGTGCACAAGAACCTGGGCATATAAATAATGAAGTAAGGGTATCTGCTGAACTTCATGAATAAGTAGTTCCAAATCCTGCTGCAGAAACTGAAGTTAATGGTAAATCTCCCATGGATTTCAGTGTGTGGAGGCTGGGGCCCTCATATATTAAGGGCTTATCATTGCAAATTTGCTGAAAGCACCAAACTCTCACAGCTTCTGTGTGCCTCATCTTCAGTCCTGCAGAGACATCGTAATACCATGTTTGTCATAGCAGAGTCATTCCCATGGCAACAAATGGAGTCAGAAATACAAGATTCTAACCTTGCTGCATGATCAAACAAAACAGAGAAGCTGGGCAGCAAAGACAAAAGTTCATCAAATACAAATGCCTATAAACCCAGCAAGCAGATGGGAGAGAAGCAGCAAATAAAGGCAAAATATTTCTCTTCCTCTGAAGTTCTGCCCCTGTCTCTCCACAGATTTTTCTAATGCTAGGATCTGCTGTGATTAGCCTCAGTATCTTACCCTGCAGAAAGCTCCAAAGAGAGGAAACGATCAGTTGTTAATAAAGCCATTTCACATTAATTTCTCCTGGAAGATGAGCTTTGAAAAGTAATGCTATTTTACAGCTCTTTTCAATAGATCTAAAAACAAGACACTTAGTAACATTTCTGTCTCATCCCATTTCTGAAATTTTCATTAATAACCTTTGCTTTATTGATAGGGCAGAGCCAGTGACCCACTCTGAATCAAATGCTGGATCGGTAAAAGAATTGGGGTAGGAATAATGTGGGTGGCTAATTGGCAGTGTGGTCATCACAGGAAGCCAGCGACAAACTGGTGGGACAGTAAGACAGCTGGTCCCTGGGCAATGGCAGGAACATTGTTGAGGCACAAGTGGAAAAGCCACTGTTTCCCACCAGTTCAGAGGCAGAAGGCATTAAATGCGAAGATGGGTCTTGCAGCTGGTCTGCAATGAAAGAACAGTTTCAGATTGCAGTAGCTGTCAAATCCAATGCTGAAGTATTGACAGCTGTAAAGCAAAAGCTTTAGGTGCTGCTAGGAAGATTGGCAGACCTTCTTACAACTGTGTCAGTGAGAGGCAGCTTCTTAATTCTCAGTTTGAGTCTGTGAGAACATTTTTTGAGATTTCCAGCCATAAAGTTCAATGAACTATTGAACGGTCAGTCACAGGATCCTGCCCTTTAACAACATCAGTGTTAAATCTTATTATGCCTTAGTGGTAGAAGAAAGAACATGGTTTGAATTGTCCCAAGGCAGAGGTAATTCTGATCTTCCACCAACAAAACTGCACCTGTTAATATGCACAAACTTATCCATGGCTTCTGGAACCTGGAAGGGGCTTTCTTCCTTATAGATGGGACACTATAATAAATGTGACATATTGCTGCACATTATGAATGCAATGAAGAATTACGAATGAGAAATAGTCAATGAAAACAGAAGCTGTCCATCCATCGGTTTATATTGATTGCACCAAGGAGTGGCTGTTTCATGGCATCACAGAGACAAGCCCAGAAAACTCTGATCAGAAGTTGTGGCTGCTGCCTTTAACAGTTGTAGCACTGACTATAAACACAGAAGCCCTGCAGGTTTTGTTCAGCCCATAGGCTGCTGGAATCTATGGGAGATGAAGGATGTTAGGTCTGGACTCCGGGGCTAAAGAAGGGAAGGTCCCATTAATACAGCTGTTTACCCCTGGTGCTTTGGTGAGTGTTTGAGAATAGGTCACAGTAGGAGCAGGTGACTCCTGTGGTGCAGCCACATTGTTGAAGTTTGATTTTGTGGGTAAATGCTAGTTGTACCCAGGAAGTTGCCCAATGGTGCTTAAAGTCAGAGTCCCACCTACACCCTGACAGGTACTCATTGCTCCCCAACTACTGACAGTTCCACTGTCCAGGGACCTGAGTTGCTTGCTGACCTTGCTGAGGAAGCAAGTTACAACTCAGATGCTGCAGGCCAGAAATGACAGAGCAAGTAGCTGTTGTGCTGCTGCCTCTACATCTGCTTCGCACAATGATTAAATCTCCGCAGCCTTTAGATATAATGGAAGCAAACCAACTGCAACAGAAGGATTTCACAGCGCAAATGTTTCATGATCTGTAACTGCAACTATTTATTTGCCTTCAAAATAAATTCTGAGACTGAGAAATTTAGAAAGCAGTGGAAGAAGGAGATCCTTAAAAAGTAGGAAAGGGTGTAATTACTTTACCTTCATTCTGTTCCTTATCTTCTCTCTGATGTTTCACATGGAGTATTGATGGCGGTGCTGTACTGGGACAGAGTACTTGCCTGTTAAGTCAAGCATCTAGTAGAGGCCAGAAGCCCTAATTTTGCTGCAGCAAAATCACCTGTAGCTTGAACACAACAGATTAGCTTACTTTTGTGGAAAGTGTGGGTCCCACTTCAGTGGACATTCTATGTTGATATCCGTGACATAGGTTGGTCAATAATGTTGTAGCCACATTATTTCTATGTTCTGATTATAAATCCATTAATGGACTGTTGAGCCTTCTTTTTCAGGACTCCCTTACAGACAGTTGAGTTGGCCTTTTTTTGGTGAAACATACATAGTTTTGCTGATGGGCAGGAGATATACAGGAATCTTGCCAGTGGAAATCTCACTTTCTGAATTCTGTAGCCACAAATATGTTCTCTCATGTTCATGCTAATCCAGATTAAATTCACGATCTTGACTGAGCTACTCTAGGTTTGCAGCAGCATAAAGTGTAGTGGGACTTCTTCGTGTGTCCCTTCTGTGGCTGCTCAGCAGTAAATGTGACTTTAGTGTTGTCTTCACTGTCACACACTGTTATGTTTTCTCTCATTCTCTTGCACCGTGTAAGAGTTTAAGACAGGCCTGTTAAGGTACAAGTTGAACTGCAGGGCCACTTTTCTGACCTCCAGCCTCGTGGACCCCAGTGTCAGAATCCAAAGAACATGTTGCTGTTGGAGAGATGGCTGTGAGCTGGATGAGCTGCAACCGAAGCTCCTTTCTTCTGATAGGGAGCAGAAGGCTGGCTCCTCTCTTCCATACATAATCACTAGCATTTTACTGGCTGGAGAGTTACTAATACAGACCTTCTGTTCTATACACTGGGAGTACAAATGCCACTTTGGTGTCAGTATTTGTAACCACCACTTTGTAATTGGAGAATGGAGTTGGAGGCAATTGTTTTCTTCTGCTAGAAAGTCAGCAGCATTTTCCTTCTAGAAGACAATAGTTTGCAGTGCTGAATTCTTGAGAATGAAATATTCTTCTAAAGGCATCATTTAAGCACCATCTTCAGTCAGCTGCCACGTAACAGGCACCCAGGCTGGGTCCTAGGGCAGGGACAATGTGGGTTGTTCTGTAGCCTGGCAGTTGGATGTATTTGAAATGCACCTCCCCAGGTCTTTTATTTTTCTGAGTTGCTCTTTGGTTTGTGTCTTTCAGAAGTGCTCTGGAGGTGTGTGCTCATTCCTGCATCGAGTGTGCTGGGCAGCACTACCATTGCAACTGCTCCTCTTGCTCCTCCTGCTCCTGGCCTTCCTCCTGCCCTTGGCAGAGGAGACCCACAGCTGCTCTCTGGCCAACAACTTTGCTCGGTCCTTCCACCTGATGCTGAGACACAAGGGCCCACCTCCAACCTAACTTCCTGGCATGGCACAAGGTGACTGTCAGAAATACAGACTTTTCAACAATTGGAAGTGTTGCAATTTCAGGGCTTCTAACAAGACCATCATATCAACTGGGTAGGTCATATAAATGCAACATAAGATTAGTCCACTTTAATCAGGTATATGAGCAAAATTAATATTTTTGCAATATTTTATTATATTTATAATGTGTATATAGAGATTGTGTAAGTATGTACATATCTATATGTATAACAAAATGCATATCTGTGGTCAAACTAACATCCACCATTCACTCATCCACTGTTTAAGGATAATCCTGCAATGTTTCTGTTTCTACCACCTTTCAGCAAGGAATACTGAAAGATGGTTTTGTTTTGGGGGCTTTGGGGTGATTTTAAAAGTCAGATTCTTGTTTACAACTGAAGTCAGAGCAGGTATGAGAAGATGTGGACATGCACCAGAGTGCAAACTGGAGAGCAGGCACAGTAGAATAATGTTTGAATACAGTGGTTGACATTCAGCCCAAGGAAAATTGGAGCTATTCTATTTGAAATCTTGGGCTGGGGTTCGTTTGGGTTTTTTTTCAGTATCAGGATGCAGAGACTGCAGGAGGTAATGGAAATGTTTCTACTGACTTCAGTAGGAGTGGGGGTGGGCCTCCTCTTGTTCACATTTTTTACCAGATTTCTTTCCCAGTTACTGTGTTCTCCAGCCCACCTGAATCAGCAGAGGTAGACTACAGTAGAAATAAAGCAAAGAAAAAAGTATATATATATATATATATATATTTAGCATCTCTATAGCAGAAGAACTTTTAAAATCAGGTCATAATTTTCTGAACAAATTTGTGAACACTGAACAAAACCTTGTGTCAGTGATCTTTATAAAAAGCAGTGGGTTTGGTTGTGTTTTTTTTGTTTGTGGGATTTTGTGGTTTGGTTTGTTGGGGTTGTTTTGCATTGTGAAGAGGCATTTCATAATGGATCATAAAGCCTGAACAGTGGGATGCAGCCTGGCTCAGTGTCAGCAGAGCAGAAGTTGGAAATACTTTAATAATACTGCCCTGTAAACAAGATTCCTTCTTAGGATGTTTTTTAGTGTTAATGGTTTGTTAAACTAATATAAACTGATTGTATCAAAGACAGTCAAGCATAGATTTCTATATAGCCTAAGATGATGACAACTTGCCATTTATTTACCTAAGCTTATGCCTGATCTATCAAATTTTTGAATATACATTTTAAGATTGCCTTTAATTTAAAAGCAATTCTCACTGTACTGTGATGCAGCCATTCTTAGTAGTGTTTTTACCCAATTGACTCATGAGAGAAAAGGTAATTTCTACAAGTTTGTGCCATTTCTGAGAGCTATCCCTTCTCATCTCATGTTTTTAGCCACAGTAGTAATCATGGAAAAAAATGTATTAACAGAAGAAACAGTTACTTTCCCATTCTGGCAGTGTTGCAGAGGAACTTGTCTTCGGGGTATCAGTATGGTGTATTCAGTATTGTTTTCCAAATAAGTTCCAAAATAGTATTAAATTTGTGGTACAGGTAAATTATGTAGTAGCTGAGAGACTGGAGGAGGAAGTCACACTTTAACAAAACCATGAAAGTTTTGCTAAAGGAGCAAACGTGGGTAGAACAGGGAGGCGTAGCAGCAAGGAGCTCATTATGAGCACATATGAGGGAGAACAGGCAGATGTGAAAGAGAACTAACTAAAGCTAAGAGATGAGAGGTGTCCAACAATTTCTAAAGCCTAAGAAATGGAGTCATGGTAAACACAGAGGACTAGGAGGTTCTGTGGAGGAAAAATGTGAATCTTTTTGGTTCCCTCTCTCTGCTACAGTATTGGTACTACTGCATATTAAACAGTTTTTCTTCAGTAAGGTTTAAAATGGGGTAAGTAACAGGGACTCTACCAGTGTCCTGAAGAGACTCTTCCACCACTAAGACTCTGTCACTGTGTTTCTAATAATTCTTCCAACTACACAAGTTTGCTAGAGTTGGATAAAAATTCTGATAAAGTGGAGAGTAAATTAGAAGGGTGTGAGTAGGCATGGTGAAGGTATTCAGGTAGAATGCACAGGGAGCATGAGGAGGAGCTGAAATGATGCTGATTAAAACCTGTCAGGAAGTAGCAGAAGAGCTCTAGAGAGCAGGCAGAGAGAATGTACACTGAGCAATCAGACATTCACATCTAAATGGGAAGCAAAGGAAGGTCTGTGATTTCATTCATGAAGGAGCCAGATGGAGAGGAGCTATAATTTGTCTGAAAATGGGGCAGATGAATTCCTTCTTTGCAACGGTTCTTTCTGGTGACAGAGGACATACCTCCTCTCCTCTGATTAGCTACGCAAGAGCCATGAACTTGCCCACAGCTTTCCTCTAAAAATTGCTGCCAGCCCTGAGGGAATGAACCCCTGTGGCTGGACAGCAAGGAGCTAATAGTCACACACATCTCCATTTCAAATTAAATGCACCAGTAGTAAGAAGTGTGGGGAAAGAAGGGCAGTAACAAAACTTCCTATATGTGGTTGTGGATATTTTTACTTGTGCACACACTTTTCTGTGACATACCAACATTGCACTTCTCTGGCTTTTGGTGAGCTGTTCCAAGTTAATTTCCAAAGCAAAATGCCAGTGAGAAAGTAAAAATAACGAGAAATAATATAGCTGAAGGTGAAAATCAGTAGGGAGAGAGACAAGTTTTTCTATAAAAGCACAAAATTTCACATCAGATTTCTTTCTGCCTAGTCTGATCTGAATGATTTTTATGGGTTCACAAATGTATGGAACTGTCGGATAAAATTTCTACAGAGAGGTCCATAACAGAATAACTGCATTGTTACCTTGATGTTTCAGTGTTGTGGCAGGTTTAAAAAAATCCCCAAAATAACAACAACAAAAACTACCTGAAACCAAACAACCAAAAATCCAAAGACCAAAACCTCAAAACCTAAATTAGAAACATGCTTTTGCTGCTGGGTTTACATTCAGTTTATTCTGAGCTTGTAAACTGTTTGTGCATCTAGCTCAGGCCACGTAGCCTATGCTGGGTGGTGATATCCACAGAGCAGAGCTCTTGGGTGTCTCTCCAAGCTCTTTTTGCCTGCATTGTTGGACCCAGTATTTGATCAACTGTGTTAATGACCCTTCAGCATTGAAGGCAAAACCCTGCACTCCAGTGCCCATGCGTTAAACTAAGAATTCTGCACACCCCCAAAGGTACACCTCAAACACAATCTTTGGAGTGAAAGCAAGCCTAATCATAGGATCATAGAATCGGCTAGGTTGGAAAAGACCTTTAAAATTATCAAGTCCAACCTTTACCCCAGGACTGCCAAGTCCACCACTAAACCATATCACTGAGGGCCTCATCTACATGGTTTTTGAACACCTCCAGGGACAGTGATTCCACCACTTCCCTGGGCAGCCTGTTCCAATGCCTGACAGCCCTTTTTGTAAAGAAATTTTTCCTAATATCCAGTCTAATCCTCCCCTGGTGCAGCTTGAGGCCATTACGTCTTGTCCTATCACTTGTTACTTGGGAGAAGAGACCAGTCACCTCCTCTCTCTGTCCTCCTTTCGGGTAGTTGTAGAGAGCAGTAAGGTCCCTCCTAAGCCTTCTCTTCCTTATATTATACACCCCCAGTTCCCTCAGCCGCTCCTCATAAGACTTGTGCTCCAGGCCCTGCACCAGATTTGTTGCAGTTCTGATTTATAATTGTAATTTATTTTGTATCCAGATGCTTTCAACAGAATTTTCCATGACTACAATACAGTGAGGTAGAAAACTGCCGTTGTGCCACATGTCTATTAATAGCCCTTTCTCTAATTCCAGCTAGCACTTTAGGTTGTATTAAATGTTATTTATATATGCACATGCCAGAAATCTCCATATGAAAATCATGTTCAATTCTGTGCACACACATTAAAAAGGTAGTCTCCTTCTTTTACCACAGAATCCCCAGAGCAGTCATGATTTCTGCCAAGTACTAGCTTTTTTTGCCCTGATTGAGATACTTAATAATTTCAAGAATTTGGGCCTGAAAAAGCAAGTTATGAGCATAACTAATCAAACCACTTAATGATCGCTGAATAATCTGGAGAGATTTTAGAATGGCCTTGTGATTCTCCTTAATCCTTTTCACTTGGGGTAGTTGAAGACCTCAAAGAGAAGAAATGTTTCAAAAAATATCCATCACTTGATAAGCAGATGGTAATCTCTGCATGTCAGAAGAAATAGGATGTTCTCTTTAGCTGCTCTAGGCGCTCAGGAGTTTGCTCTGTCTTATCTCCTCTTCAGCATTAAATAGGAATTGTTTTATTTTGATGTGTGTTCATACACATCTCATTAGCACTAAAGATATTCGAAGGGTGAGTTCATATACAGGAGTTCTTGTAACCTGTGTCAGCAAATGAGTACATTGTCTTATTTTCTCCAGAAAAAATAGAACTGCTATATGGTAGAGATTCCCAGAGCAAACAAAACCTTTAGGAATAACTGAAGATTACACACTGAAATTAAATTATCCACCCTGCTAAACTGGAGAAATAGTTTTTCCGTTCAAGAAGTGCTGGTATAAATACCCCAATAGAAATATCTTTGGCAGGCGTCATACATGTCTTTCAGGTCATAAGTTATGTACCATCTGGCTGTAAGAACTGCTTTTGGAGACTTTACTGGATAGTATCAGTTGCTAGTCTGCAGCTGAAAACACGTTTGCTCAATGAACTGTATCAGCTTCTTTCAGAGTTGCTGAGGGCTGTTGAGGTTATTCTTAGTACTCAGATCGTTGACCTGCTCTGAGCCAGTACAAGTTTATTGCATTAATCTGTCAGCAGTTGGCAACTCTCAGAAACCAGTTTATTAAAATACTAAAGATAATATTGTTGATAGAGACATCATGATTCAGTCAGAAACCAATCTTATTTTTGCCATATTTAAACATAATCATCTATTGGTCATGATGGATTATAAACAGATTAGTTGTAGGTGTTGGGTAACTGAGTGGTATGTTTTAGGCACAAATGACTTTTTTGACTTGCACACACTGAGAATTGTCAGTTCATTTTGCACTTGCACAGTGGTAAAACAAAGCAGACCAAAAGTTCTTGAATGTAGCATTTAAAAAGAAAAATTTAAATCAGGATGGAATAACCTGTCATGCAGTTTATTTTTGTTATTATCTCTTGTCTATCCAATTTAAAATATGAATGTGTCTACCAGAGAGTTATCAGTAGATCTGGAAAGGAAAAGGATGTGTATATCAGGAATATACCAATTTAAGCAGCAGCCTACATGGTGCCTGTGTTACCAAACCTAGTTCAGCAATTGCCAGATTTTAGCTTATTGTACCTGTGAGCTAGCCAGTTTACTCTTAGTAAAGCATGGGTGAGGTGAAACTGCACAGGTTAAGGTACAACATCCCAGTGGACACAGCAAGAGGTATTAGGTCTTCAAAAGGCAATCTGATATCTTGATGCAAGAGTTGAACATGTAGATTTGGCATAATGAGAGCAACCCAGGACTAGTGGCATAGGATCAAGGGTTAGTTGTCCTCCTCTGCCAGACAAAATTTTGACAGTGTCCTCACTGTCCAGTTTCACATCCCTGACTGTGGAAGGAGGCTCCCCTGAGCGTGGTACACTCTAGCTGAGATTTGAGCCTTGGGAGTGTTCTTTTCATTAAATGCAGGAGAAACTGTTAAATCAACCCCCTCAGTGACAGATTAATGGTAAGTGGTGGGTGCTGGTGCTCCAGGAAAAGATGCAGGAAATGCATAGAATGATAGTCGTGAAGGCTTCTGTTCAATCTCTAGGAATTAGAGATTCATTGTAGAACTGAAGTGGAAGGTTTTCTGTTTCTTTGCAAGTAAATGCCAGGTGTTGCCTTTAGTTTTCTGGATTTTGAGGACAAGTCTGTTCAGTGCCTCACTGAATGCTAGTGGCTTTCTGGCTTCAGAGCCATTTATGGCAGTGAGTTCTACATCCTTCCTATGAGTTGTGTGAAAAGGTATTCCCCTGAATTAGTTTTAAATCAGAAAGCTTTTGTTCAGCTGTGGGGGCTGTTTGTTTTTCCCTTTTTGGCCTCTACATGTTGAATTCGAGGAAGCAGAAAGACCAACACTACCCTGTCCAGACCATGCTTTGTCTTTCCTTCTTTTATCAGAGCAGAGATTTGGCTTGGTCTCCTTCCTAAAGTAAATGATCTCAGTCTTTTCTGCTGCTTTTCGTATTACAGTTCTTCCACATCCTTGATCATTCCTGTCACC